TTTCTTGGGATCCGTTGCCTCGAGAATCCATTGAAGTCGTGGTTGTGTTGTGTCCACTGATAATGGATTCAAAAGGTATTCAGTCTTGAGTTCAACGGCTCTCATATCACTCAACGATTCCGTGAATACAAAGAGTGTTTGAATGAGAACTATGACTGAAATGATTGTAAAATTCATATTTAATTTGTAAATAATTCTTAAGTTTAATAATTATTAAGTTATGAAAGCATTGCCTGATTTTGGTCTCAATTTATAGCAATTGTGCGGAAACGAAGCAAATGTATTGAAAATCAAAGTTTGAAAAATAAGTTATGCGATTACTTTGTGAATTATTTCTTAATATCCATGTGTGTGGTAAATATATCAGAGTCATTTTGGTGCTTTGGTGCAAAAATCTTCCATCTTAATCTATTGTTAATTATGAACTTGTTTGATTTGTAATCAAGGTTAAATATTTGCAAGAATTTTATTACATCATAAAGTCCTACGGAATTTGAGTTTGTATTACAGATAATTTTAATAATCTTAGATATTACCATAAAATTATGATTCAGGATATATCTCAAATTTTTAACTTGTACCGTAAAACAAATAATTTTAAATGTTTATTAATAGCTAAAAAGTATCCCAGAGATGACTTTCAAGTATTTAATGATATATACCGATAATTTTATTAAAGATATTTCAGATTATTTATTTATTATAATGCTTAAATAAGTGTAATTTTAAATCATTGATTTTATAATTAATTATGTTTTAAGCTTTCTTTTAATGTTATTATTTTAAATTTATTAATGGATTGATTGTACTTTCATATTTGAGTATAGTAAATAATCAATTAAGTCTAATAAAATTGAATATTGAACTTATAAATTTAATATTAATTATCATTATACAGATAATCTATATAATATAATAACAGATATCTGAGAGGCCAGAATGAGACGTACCTCTGAAATATTGCTTTTATTTCTTATTGAAACATTGGTTTTATGTAAAGTTTGAAATTTATAAGGTTTAATATAAGTAAATTTCAAACTTTACAGAAAAGCAATGTTTCAATGAGAAATAAAAGCAATATTTCAAAGGTACGTCTCATTCTGGCCTTTCAGATATAATATTTTATTAGATTTTTAAATTTTTAACAATGCTATTAACTACAGTCTAATAGTTATACATTCATGCCTCGATTTCTATTTAATTTAAATAATAATTAAATTAAAATGTTTTTAATATTATTAAGGCCTTGGTTGTTTTAATTGGTTGTTAGTTTGATAAATTATCTATTAGCTAGTTTTTAGCCAGTTAATAATTTAGTTTAATGTTTTAATATTAAGCAATATTATAAATTGTATAACTAATGTAAGAATAATTTTATTTATTATTAATTGTTTAAAATAGTGTCCACGAATTCATTTCATTGACAGTTAATAACAATAAATAAATTCTTGTGTTATATTGAATATGAATTTAATCCATGGTAACATTGAAGGTATAGGTCCCGGAGCCCACTTCATGCACTTTCCCACTCTTAGCAAAGGTTAAGTCAACAGAAGCCATAGTATTGACGGGAATTGTTGTCTAAAATAAATATGAAGAGTATTAATAAGTATTAAGTTATACTTTCACAACATTATAATTACATTCAACACGAATTGATTGCCTATTGTTTGCCACGAGTTCTCAATGAACCCATTGATTGACTTATAAGAGGACTTCACAAACGAGACACCATTCCCGGGGTTGGGCTGTATTTTGATTCGTTTAAAGCCCACCATTTGGTTGTCGGTGTCAATGCCGGCTACGTATTGGTAGATCCATCGGCCTATTGATCCCATAGCGTAGTGATTGAATGAATTCAATGGCGGATCTTCGTTATCATTAAACTCCTTATCCCTGAGCCCATTATCCCAGTGCTCCCACATTGCAGTCGCGTTGTTGGCTATTTCGTACCCCCACGAGGGAAAGGTCTCCTGTAATAGCAGCCGATATGCCACATCCCGGTGCCCATACTTCACCAGAACCTCGTTTGAAAAACCAACGCCTAATTAAGAAAATTGTAAAATATTAATATAGGTTACATAATAGTTATTATAGTCATAATATTACTGATAAACCCATTGGTGTAGTGGTAGTCGTGGGCCTTAATATTGTCGACCAAATGGTTGACCGCAAGTGGTCTCAGGTTTTGGGGTAAGAGATCGAAGGCCAGGGCTAACACATACACGGCTTGAGTATCGCCTTTGATTTTGCCGTCAGTTGTGTTGACAAATGCTTTTGTGAAGGCATTCGAGATATTTGTATGCAATTCAGTGTAAAACTTCACGTCATCGGTGCGGTTGAAAACACATACACGGCTTGAGTATCGCCTTTGATTTTGCCGTCAGTTGTGTTGACAAATGCTTTTGTGAAGGCATTCGAGATATTTGTATGCAATTCAGTGTAAAACTTCACGTCATCGGTGCGGTTGAGAGCACCGGCCATTCGGGTCATAAGTAGGGCGTCGTAACCAAAAAAGGACGTATCAAATACATCTTTGGGTGTCTGGGCGTTCACTTCCAAAAAGTCACCAAAATTAGCAAAAGTCATTTGAGTCCATAAGAAGTTAGGATTTGCGGCCTTTATGTCGGCCACCCATGTCTTCATCGACTCGTAACTGACTTCCAGTATCTGTTTGTCTCCAAACATACGCCATAAATGATAGGGCACTATAACGCCCGCATCACCCCATGCCGGCGCCGCATCACTGAATTCCCCAAATCGGGGGGATATAAGCGAGAAGTGGCCGCCATTGCCAACGGCTTCCCTCACATCCCGGAGCCATTTGCTATATATGGCCGCAACGTCTGCGTTATAACTGGCAGTATGTATGATAGTCGCCGCGTCGCCCATCCAACCCAACCTCTCGCTCCTTTGGGGACAGTCCGTAGGTATGGACCATATGTTCCCCTTTTGACTCCATAACACGTTTAGCCACAAACGGTTCAGGAGTTTGTTGTCGGACTCAAATTTACCGGTGAATGGGGTGTCCGTATGGGCGACACGACCCACAAAGTCAGTCAACTGGGGTTCGCCCGGAAAGCCACTGACCTCTATATACTGCCAGCCGTGGTATGTGAAGTGAGTCTCAACCGAAATACCTGATACGCCCGAGTCTGTGAAAAATGTTTGTTAATTATTAATGCTTTACAATTCTATGACCATAATGATCAAGGTTAAGAATTGAAAAAAATTGTTATAAATTGTAAAAACACAAGCTGTTGAAGTTATGAATAAATGGCATTTAATATCAATAAGTGCATCATAAATATATTGCACCTGTACACATCTTATGCTGATATGATATAAAGTGGTCATACCTTCAATAACAAACGTGTCTATAGATCGGGCCGATCCATAGTTCTTTGTATAGATACTGCCGTCGCGATTGAGTGCTTCGGCATATCTTAACTGAATTCTCATAGACTTGTGATTCTTCGGCACTTTGATCCCAACCCATCCAACCATATTCTGTGCAAAGTCTAAGATCCAAACCCCGGGACTTATTTGTCGCTTAGATATAGGGATCAACTCCTCTGTCACCCGAATAGGCTGAGCTCTGTCTGCTATATGTGCCACTGTTTTGTTTATAGGTTTGGTCACAACGGCTGTCCATTGAGTGCTATCTTGTAGTTCTCTGTTTTGATAATAAAGTTCTCCCATTAGTATATCGGAGTACATTATGGCACCGGTAGTCACTTTCCAAGTGTTGTCTGACTTAACAATTAATGTCTTATTGTTTTCATAAGTTATGTGTAATTCAAGTAACAAGTATTGATCGGTTCCGTAGTAATTATATGCACCACTAAAACCCACATAACCACTGTGCCACCCTGTGCCTAGTTTGACATCCAGTACATTTTGTGCGTTATTAAGTAATGTCTTGACATCGTATGTCTGGTACTGAATGGTCTGATTATAATCAGTCCAACCGGGACTCATGACATCATCGCCGATGTATTTGCCGTTTAGTTGTATTTTATGGACGCCTTGTGCCGAAGCGTACAGTTTCGCTGACTTTATGTTTGAGTCAATTGTGAAGTCTTTTCTTAACTGAAGTACTGGTCGTAAAGCCGGCAGTGATTTGATTACCTGAAGTCATAAATGATAATGAATTTCAAGAAAAATTAAAGAATGATTAGAAAAATCATTTAAATATAAAAGACATACATTTGCGTCGATTTCTGATATGTTTTCTAACGCCTTGTGTTGAGTACCGTTCGGAGCGCCGACCCATTCGGCCGTCCAGTCACTGATGTCCAGCCCTTTGTCCCAAAAGGCTACCCGACTATTGTCACTCTGCCTGTCCTCCTGATCCCACACCCTTACGACCCAATAAGCCCTCTGACCACTGGATAGTTTGGTGCCATTGTATGTGATATGAGTGGTCCTATCGCTCATCACTTTCTTCGTGTCCCACAAATCGCCCACATTTTGGGCCAAACTTTGCTGATCTG